TCTGGACCCTCCAAGACAAGCCATTTCAGCCCTCCCCCGTGGGAGAATCCTCCAAAACATCGTCCCCAGACCCCCCAGGGCCCCAGGCCCTCCAAGATAGCCTGGAAGAGACCCCCCCCCCGAAATGAGACCCCCCTCCCTGTATTACGAAATCTGGAGTACTTGCCTTCCGCTGGGGCCCAAGTTCCTCGCCCCCGAGCAGTCGGAGGAGGGCCAGTCGAGGCACGGCGGCGGCCCTCCCTGGCGTTGCTCCTCGTCGTGGGGGGCGCCTCGCGGGGCGGGTCGTCGCCGCGGCCCGGTCCGCCGCGGAAGCCGGGTGGGGAGGAGGAGGAGGAGGAGGAGGAGGAGGAGGAGGAGGAGGAGGCGGAGGAGGAGGAGGCGGAGGAGGAGGAGGAGGCGGAGGAGGAGGAGGAGGTGGAGGAGGAGGAGGAGGGAGGAAGGAGGAGGAGGAGGAGGAGGAGGAGGAGAGCCGCCGTTGTCTGTGCTGGCCCTCCGAGCCTCGTGTGTCCCTTGGCATCGCTCGGACGTGTGCATTTTTCCTTCGGCGAGGACCATCGAGGAGCATCCTTCGTCATTTGGCGAAAAAGCCACGCACGAAACCGACAAATAACACGGGGAATGGACGTCCGAGCGATGGCGAGGTCCTCGCCGGAGCGTGCAGGAGCGGCCGCCTCCTCCGTCCTCCGTCCTCCTCCCTCCTCCCTCGCTGTCGGCCCGCCTCTGAATCCTCCTGCCTTCGCCTCCGTCCTCATCCATCTTCCTCCTTCGTCCTCCTCCTCCTCCTCCGTCCTCCCTCCTCCCTCCTCCTCCTCCTCCTCCTCCTCCTCCTCCTCCTCCTCCTCCTGGGTCCTCCGTCCTCCTCTTCCGTCTCGTCCTCCTCCAAAGCTTATCCTTACACAAAAATGACCATTCCCTGTCGCTCCCCCAGTTGTGTGGGTAGGGCGTGCCGAGCGCTTCGCGTGTCTGTATGTCTACAGGAGGTCATGGCCTCACTCACCTGGTCTTAGCTGGCCCGGACAGTTGCCCGTTATGGTGGTTCGTTCGTTCGTTCGTTCGTTTCTCACCACCTATGATCTTGAAGCTTGACGTTTACAACTGTTCAACGATCGAGGGTAAATGTGGCTCTCGCTTTAGCGCGGCATGCATTCGTCTTGCAAATATTGCAGTGGTTATAAGGATGGAGGGGGTGGTTTTCAAAATGTGGCTATCGCCGTGGCAGTGCGCGCATTCGCGTCCAAATGGTGCAAAGTTTCAAGGACGGAGGGTGGTTACCTTTCAGTATGTGGCTCTGGTCCTGACGTCACGGACCCTCCTTCAAAATCTCGCAGCAGCTCGAATGATGGAGCATTGGTCGTTTTGAAAGCAACGTGGCTCTTGCCCTAGCGTTGTGAAAGGCAACTCCTGCTAGAGACACGAGAGAGGCGAAATCAGCCAAAGTAGCTACATGGATAGGTTGTAGAGTACCTTCCAAAGTACCTACGAAAAAACAGCAAAGTAGCAACGCGAAAAAAAGTAGGTTCCAAAGTACCCCCCCGCTTTTCCCACAGGTAGTCGCCAACAACGGCGAACCACAATTGACGAGTGGGAAAAATCGCCCCTCGACGCCGCTGAGTGGCAATTCTGCGCAAAAGGTCGTTGGGCATTTGGCGGCGCATTGTTTGACGATCGCACCGTCGTGGTCTGGCAAGCAGGCCCCCCCCCCCCGAGCGGATCGGACGGGCTGGCCGTCAGAGCGGACGGGCGGAATTACAATCAGCTGAGTGGGCCGAACCAGACGGGCGCGTCGGGCGCGTTAGGCGGGCGGGCGCGCCATTCGGGGGGGGGGGGGGTCGAACGGCAGAACCATTAGGGCGGCTGCCAAAAACTCAGATGAGAAACGTTCCTATGTCACTGGTGTTTGGGCGCAGCGTAGGCACGCACCACTGCACATCTGCGGCGCAAGCGCGATAACTATCTAGCCCCCGCGTCATCCATGCACACGCCTACTGCGATGCAGTTTCCAGTAACCGATCGAGTTGTGCTACAGATTGCTGCTAGGACGCGCAATTGAGCCCCCTGGGGACCACCGCAAGAAACCCCGTTGACCCCAAGATGCTCCTGATCGCCTAAAGAACAGCACCTGGCACAGAGGCGATGCAAATTTAACTGGCACTGCGGGTGCAGCCCGATTGGAGGACCCCCCATGGATGACCGCTGCTCCCAAGGAATGCCACGGTGATGCCACAACGCGTCCCCCAACAACAACAACAACAAAAACAAACATAATGCCATGCACCGCCGACAAACCCCAACAAACTTTCACTAAGGTTTCGAGGGCCCCACCGACCCCCTCCCCTCCACCCCGCCCTCGCCGAAAACATGTGCAACAACGCGACCGATAGGCACGCGCTGCTGCGTGCGTTTACCGTTGGCCTGAGACCGTGCAAACATATATCTGGAGGTGCTGGCGGGGCTGCGCAAAGCGTCAGGTCTACCGCCGCGCAGTCGCACGCAGGGGCGCGTTTGGCGGTCAGCTCGTCTACACTAGGCGGCCGACGTGGTTTCACTTGCCAATGTGTTTACCCTATCGCAGCGCGCAGTCGCCCTAGGCCGCCTTCTAGATTTAGCGTATTTCGAGTTGTGGCCGTGCCACCGATACCTCGACTCCTACCATGTTACGCAACGCCAGCGCTTTCCGAACACAACCCGTCGTTGGAGCGCCCAGCGGTTGCGCCTGCGAAACCCAGACCACTCCAAGGCGGCCCCTGATGCACTCAAGGCAGCCGATGGCCCCCGAGAAGGCCCCAAGAGGCCATGTGAGCGCCCAAAGCGACCCAATAATGCCCCAAGATGGCCCTATGAGGAGCCCAAGTGGTTGATAACGAACAACGGGTTCGAGCTTCCAACGCCGAGACGGCAATTGAGAGCGTTGAGAGGCAGCCCAGCCGTCAAAAAGCTACCACGGGATCCCCCAGAACTGACCTAACCTACGCTACATCTCATTCGTGTGCGATTGGGTTCTAGACGTTGCGATTGTTATAGCTTTAGACGCTCAGGGTCTGCTCAAGAGGTCCCAGCGGGTGCCCCACGACAACGTATAAGACGACCGCAAAGCCACAACGCAATTCAGACGAGGCCTACTACGGACAAACACACCTACACGGCAACCCACGAACTACCCCAAACGACCCCAGAAGCACCACCGTTGCTACAGCATCAGAGCGCCCTCGCCAAACACGTAAACAACGCGTCAAAAGGCACTCACGAAGCCCAGCGAGGCTCCCGATAGCTCACCCCAAGGGGGCATGACGATATCCAAATCAGCGCGAACCATGATGTTGACATGGTTGCATTATGCCCATGGCAACTTCATGGCGGCACGAGAAGCCCGCAAGACCACCCCAAGACGGCCCAAGACGCACCCAGAAGCCCCTCTAAGAGGACACTGGGATCGCACATGAACTGTCTAAGACAACACCCATGGACCCCCCCACCGCCATGCGGACACGAAATGATTGTGCGAATCTCAGCGTCCAAAGATTGCTCCGAGGATTCCAGAGGTGCCCCCGAGATGCCTAACATGACACACGGCAGCGTCCCAAAGAGGCGTCGGTGCGGCTCCCAATCACCATCAGAGAAGCACGCCAAGCGATCACAGGCGACATATGCAAGGCGGTTGACTCACAACCCACGCACGGCGGCGGGTTGCCGCAGGCAGCTGGATTATTCCGACGGCAAAGCAGAGGGACGAACCAGGCGCCACCAGCCCCTTAAAGGAGCAACGCCGACGCTCTCATCTAGCCCATCCAGCTCGGGGGAAGGAGATTGGGAATGCTTGGGAATTGGATGGGGGAGGGTGGGGCAAGCGGGATGGCAAAATCATACACGAGACAAGGTGATGACGGCCACGTCAACAGACGCGACTGCAGAATTGCGAGGACAGGCCGCATGGACAAAAAGCTGAGCGACCCAGAGACAATGTTTTTCATTTCTCAGCGAGGCCCCCTTCTCGCACGCGCTGATCCCAGCACAGGCGCTGATGCCGTCGGCGCTCCTGCGCCACGTCGCCTGCAAGTCCAGCAGGCGCCTGGGCGCACATGTCGTGCATCGCCCTCGCTTTGCCATACTCGTCTCCCCCCCCTGGGGGGGGGGGGGAAGTGCCCCCCCTCAATGTCATCATCTCCTGGGCTTCTGGTAGGGGTGGATGGGCGGGGCACGAAAGATTGAGCGCCCAATGAGACCCCGCTGAGGTTTCGGAGAGCCTCTACGATGATTCCAAGGATGGGCCCAGAAGCCAACGTCTGCGCCAAAACGCTTCGAATATTCTTCCAGCAGGCCCACCACCGCCTCTCGATGTCTCCAAGTGGCGGTGGTCTCCCTCTGGTAGCTCCACCTAGAAACCAACGGCCGTCAAATGCGATCGAATCAACACGTGCGAATGTGCTGTGTCGCAGCTTCGCGTGTGATGGCCCCCGAGGCCTCAAGGTAGTTCGACGCTGGCCCCAGATGGCCACGCACGACGCCCAAGAGAACCACTTGGATGCTCTGAGGTAACCCAACGCCGCCCCCAGAGCGACCCAAGACGCGACCAAGACGCGGGTGTCGGGGCCCTAAGGGGCAGAACGAATTGATTGCCATCCATCCCGTGACCGACATCCGCACATGTAGCCCAAGATGGCTCCGCACAGCAGCCGAAAGTAAACGCCAGGCAGCCTTCAAGATACCCAACACACACCACAGATATGCCCAAGGGCGCCCGATAGGCTTACCAGAACACATAAGACGCTGCAGATGCCACTAGTGTCACCACATCGCCTCCTCATCCTCCCAACCGCCCTCCCCTTCCTCCCCCTGGTCTCATTACGAACTTTCTCCTTCACCACCTCTTCCTGGGACATAGTGGCTTCCGCAACCTTGTGATCTCATATGCCCCCTGACGCCACCGACCAAACCAAATCGCATTGGCATATTTAGTGGAAGGGCCGACTGTGATACGCGAAGCGTCAAGAATTTAGACGGACCCCTTCAGCGAGGTAAGCTTGCTCGTCCAGTCAATGATGTCGGCCCGCATGACGGACTCGCAACCGTGCTCGACGATCTCCCTCTTGTACGTCATCACGGCCCTGCGGAGCTTCGGCGCCGACGATCCGAAAGATTTCCAGCTGTGCACCAGCAGCGCAGTGTACTTCACGGCCAGTGCAGCTTTCACCACATTAGCCGCTCTCGTCGTCAGGGTGCCGTCCTGCTCGTAGCCGAAGGTATCGGCCCAGACCTTGTTGGCCTCCAGGGACTGCGTGACCTTGTCGATCAAACTCTGGAAAGACGAATCGTCGATCTGCAAGATCGTGTCCTCCACGCGCTGCAGGACCACTTGGATGTCACCACCAAGCGCCACATTGATGTCCCATGGGTTGTCGACGCTGTCGCCACCAGTGGAAGATGGTTCGAGGTCATTCACCGCCGCCGCGAGCTCCGCCGTCTGCATCTCTTTGCACGCCGCGGCAGCTGATCCCATCTCGGTAACTGCCGCCTGGAGATCTCCGCCAAGTCCCACAATCTCGGTAGCAACGCCACCAGCATCGATCGCAATGCAAGTAGAGCGAACGCCCTGCACGACGCGGCCCGCACCAGGCTGCGCCAGCCGCGATGCGCTATCCGCGCCCAGCGCCATCCACTCCCTGTGGTAATCAACCAGCGGGGCCCAGGCCTTCAACGCGTCCATGGTCTTCGAGAGTTTCTCCTTCTTGACATCATCAAGCCAATCTGATTCACCGAGCTTCATGAAGATAGCCATGTACGGATGCGACTGGATCGGATCACGGCAGTTCTGGGAAACGCACTCGTACGTGATGTCGAAGATGGCGGTAGCGCTCGCTTTGTGGGCCTCCACGCCCTTGCCACCCGCGGCCAGCACAGATTGCAACACGGGGACCACTGCGTCGCGGTCGTCGTCGTTCAGCAGCGCCGCTGGCGTCAAGGTCGACGCGAGGTCGGCGAGGCCTTTGCTGGCGTTGAACTGGTTGATCTCTGACTCCTTCTTTTCGATCGCACTCAGCGCACTCGCCCACGTAGAGAGCTTCTCTGGAACACTGGTCTTCGCCATGGTGACCAGCGTCTTCGCCTCGGCCAGCTTCGCAGTCAGCGCAGCGCCAGCCGCGCCGCCGATGACGTCGCCAAACGTCTGGGTGTGCACGTACTCGTCGACCTTCGCCGCAACCTTTGCCTGGAAATGCTCGAACGACCCAGGCCGACAGTACATCACGATGTCCGGCAGCATCTCCAGCGAGTTCCGAATGACGCCAGACTCCACCAACTGAGCCATGGACGAGTTCGAATCGTCTAGCTTCTGCATTGCGTCGGACATCGAGGGGAACATCTCCCTCGTCTTCAAGTAGTACTGGTCGAACTCGTCCTGTGCAAAGCCAGTGTCAAACAACCATGGTGGGTGGTGGCCCGTGCATTCTGAAGCTACTGAAAGGACTTCGCAAACGGTGCAGGGCAGAAGGTGGGATGAGCGAAGGTGCAAGGTTCACGACAACCAGGAACCTTGTTTCACGAGTGAAGCCACTCAGGCTCGAGAGAGCGTGGCGTACCCTAGTGACGCGAACGACGCCCAAGACCCCCCCTGAGTGCACCATCAAATGTCTCCGATCCAGCTCAAGGCCTGCTCGGCACGCACACCCCGACACCAACTGCACTATCTGCCGCCCGGTTGCAGCCCCACTTGGTTTTTATTGGCCCAACCGTCGCTGACACAAAGCCCCCATGGACAACTTTGATACCAAACCCCTGGACCGCAAACCCGAAATGCACGGACAACCACCCCCCCTCTGCGGATTGACGTCGACTTGCCTTAAGCGCCGTGTAGTGCTGCGAGCGCTTCACCGACAAGTTCAAGTGGCGCAAGCACCCAGTCCCGACCCCTGTCGTTCTGCTGGAAGCCGTCATGGCCATCAGCGCGTCCTTGTAGTCCAGCTTCGTGGCGTCGGCGATGCAAAGCGCTGCCTTCAAGGTCACCGTCATCGTAGAGACGAGCTCGTCATAGCGCTCATCCTCAGGGCACTTCTCGTCGAGCCAGTCAAGGCAGCCGTTGCAGAACTGGACCAGCTTAGGTTGACCTTCTTTGCCCAACTTGATGAAGTAGTTGAGCGCCTCCGTGAAGAAGCCGTCGCAATTGGAAATCTTGTCCGAGCAACTGCCGTCAGCAGAGCACGCCCTGGGGCACGTCGGCTTGAATGACGGGCAGCGATCACCATTTGGTTCGTCCGTATCCCATGGCGCAATGTGGTAGAAGAGGACGTTCACAGACAAGTCTGGCGTCTTGATCGTTTCAGCGACCTAAAGGGCGAGGCCGAGAGAACGGGCGACGGCAGACTCGACAACTAGGTTGGGCCCGCGGGGCGGTGATGTACACCGACCTGCGCGCCCAACCAAGACCTGCCGATAGCCCAACCCCGAAGTGCCGCCCGTAGGACCTTTAACTTCAGCACATCCTGCTTAAACTTGCTCGGCATGTCCTCGGCGCCATTCTCAACATCCTTGAGCCAGCCGTCGAGTTTGGCTTTCGGCACGGACGCGAATGGCTTCTCGACGAGATTGCAGATGGCATCGCACACGTCCAGGTGGGCCTTGAGCTTGTCGGCCAACTCCGAGTCAGCAGGAGAGGGAGTGGAGTCCATGATGTTATCATGCGATTCCCTGGCCCAGCGAAGCTCGCGACCCATGGCAGTTCCTGACCAGCACCTGTCCACATCCAAGGCAGCAATGCGACGCTCGACGAGCTCCTCCACCTCTGACTGCTTGGTATCTGACATGGCAGACTTGGTGGCGCGAGGCTTTGCTCCTGGGGTCTTCGGCGCACGCCCATCGCCAGTGAATACTGTCCGCGAGCACGCCATCGCAGACGGGTTCAGCAAAGGACCAGCCGAAGCAGATGCACCAGCTCCAGGAAGACCCGCCGCAGGCAGAGGGCTCTCGCCTGGGCTACCGCCTGGGCTGCCATCCGCCTCCTCGGCGGCCAGACGAGCCCTCTCGGCGTCGGCCTTGCTCCTCTTGTAGGCGTCCGCCTTCGAGGCCAGGGAGTCCAGAGTGTGGTTCTCCGTGCGCGCCTTCACGCAGATGAGTTTCAGCTTGCTGTCCTGCGCCAGACCCTGGGACTGATCCACTGCGCCACCCCCGCGCAAATGTCGGACAGCGCACTCCGATTGAACTACCGCTCGCTCTGAACGGATCGATGGATGACAGAGGTCTAGCATGATGGGACGACTAGGGGGACTCAGAGCCAAAAGCAATAACGCGGATGCGAACCAAAGCGCCCGCATCAGGCAAGATAGCTCGACTTAGACATCTTCTCTGTACTTTCATCAATCGGTTCAGATAGCAAACCATCCTGACAAGGTGGGAACACAGGGGCTGGGGGGAACGACGAATGCGGAGGTCGAAGTGCGCAGCCCGACATCATAGCACAGATGGCACAACGATCCATCGCGCCGAGCCTTCTTCACGAACGAGAACGTGCCAAAAGACTGGGCAGAGTACATCTGCTGGCTCGGCTGCATCTTGTGCGTGGTCATCGTTGCGAAGTGCTGGTGCATCACGTCGTACTCCAGGTACGGGCGGTTCGGGTTCGGAACCATCACGCCCTTGTAGGTGTTCCCATCCTGGTCGGGCAGGTCCTGCAGCTTGATGCCCAACTTCTCGGGCTCTTCACCCTCGAGCACGTCTGAGATCAGCTGCGCGCGGTTCAAGCCGATCATCGGCTTCACGACCGAGACAATGTATTGCGACCCTTCGTCGACGGCCGTAGGGAAGAACTGCCCTTGCTCGCCCGCCTCAGTCCGCAAGGCCTCCTCCCAGCAGTCGTGGATGTGCGAGTCCTCGTCCTGCACGCCTTGCTGGACGACCTCCAAGGAGCCGAAGTGCGTGAAGCCCTTCGAGTACCTCTCGAAGCACTGGGTACACGACGGCACAGCAGCGTCCTTCATCTGCTGGCCGACGTCGTCGGTGCCGCACGTGCCGCACTCGAACGCGTCTGCCTGGAGCGCTGCCGCACTGAGACGCCCCGCGGGCGCCGCGATGCCTCCATCGCTCTCCCTCGCGCCCGCGGCACCACTCCCCCGCCTGCCGCCGCCTCTGGCGGCCTTCCTCTGCCCGCCATCAGGAGCCTTGGCTGCGCGCTTGCCCATGCTGGGGCAGCCAAGAAAAAAACAAAGAACTGCACGTGCGATGCTGTCCTCCGCTGACACCCGCCAGTGGAGCCAAAACTTCTCGAGCCACGTGGGCTATGTGTACGGTGGATGTGGCGTTGGGCGCCCTGAGGCGTCGCCCGACAGGTCGATGGGCGGTGGTCTTCTGTCCAACGGCTCCTAGGCTACACAAGCAGCCGCCAGACAAGGGCCCCAGGTCCCGTCGCGCGATACATCGGCACGTGGCCGAAGGCTGAACCACGGACCGCGCATGCCATCAATCAAAAAACACGTAACACATCGGGCATCATATATGGGGCATCGAACCGCGTGAGGGTGTGCCAGAATGCTAACGAACACTCGGTGGGCCATGTGGAACCTTCGGAGGGCCAACCTACAGACTCTCACGCTGTGAAGGGGGGGAAGGGTCGGCGCATTATTTTACGGCCGCCTTATGGGGGGGGGGGCAGACGCGGGGTGCCGCGAGGCGTCGCTGGGGCGAGGGGTGAGGGACGGATATGGAGAATGTTGGAATACGCAGGCCAAGATAACACCCGACATCCTAATCATGACCTTGTCAGCCACGCCATAGAACCTACGATTATTTCATTTATCAACCAGCGTTCGCAGACGACTGCCCCGCAAAAGCTACTCTAAACGGACACTGGCACCCCTTGGGGCGCAGCCGAAAACAAAAACCAACCCCATGACAGGCGAAACAACGGCTGCTGGTTTGGATCAATTTGGCCATTGTTGTTCAGGGAAGGCACCCGTGCAGCTAGCTTAGGAGGCACCCTAGGCTAGGCCAGCGAGCATGCGATGACCCCAGACGCCACCCAGACCTTCATACGAACGCCTCTCGTATTGCCCACGGTTTGTGCTTTGCCAGATTTGAGAGGGCGGCGCAGCTCTGCTCGCACGTAGCCGAAGGCATCCAACAATAAGCACCGCTCTTCATGAACGCCCGAACCAGCCCCAGGCCGCTCCGCCACCACAAGGGCCCATGAGGGCCCAGAGAAAGCCCACCTAGGAACCCACGCGGCGGTCAGCAAAATCCATGACCCCACCCCCCGAAGGTTGTTTCAACCGAGCTTCGAGCAATGCTGCGAATCCTTACGTCGCCCCGTGCGTTCGGCGATGCATCGCCGAAGCAACGTGATTGCGCATCGCGCTCGGGATGGATTGGGCAGATACTCGGAACGCACAGGTGCAAGAACCACGGGATGCAGGAGGATGAGGAGGAGGAAGGGGAGGAGGGGGGAGGGGAAGACGAGGCGGGGGTGGAGGAGGAGGAGGAGGGCGAGAAGGGGGAGGATGAGAGGGAGGAAACTCAGGAGAAGGAGCACGGAGGGGAGGAGGAGGAGGAGGAGGAGAGGGGGAAGGAGGATGGCGAGAAGGAGGAGGAGGGCAAGGACGAGGATGAGGAGGAGGACGGGGGAGAGGAGGAGGAGGAGGAGGCGGCGGCGGGCGAGGAGGGCAATGGACGGCGGTGCACGATGGCAGCCGATGCAGACAGAACGCGCATGTGAGGATGCGCGCAACAATGGGCATGCACATAACTTCCAAGCTGATGCGGGTAACCAGTGAGAGAGAGAGAGAGAGAGAGAGAGAGAGAGAGAGAGAGAGAGAAAAAAAAAAAAAAAACAGAGACAGAGCGAGAGTGGAACGACTGAGAGTGGCACCTAAGTTTGATCCTGACGAGACGGAGGAGGTTGACGAGCAAACGGACGCACCTTCGACGCATGAGAAAATGTAAAGCGGATGATGCGACGGCGCAGTGAGGCACGAAGACGCCAGGGGGCTTTGGTCAAGGAGAAAGGGAGCGAAGAGAATGGGATTGGAGATGGGTGGCGGGGAGGAGGGGGGCGAGAGACACGAACGCCGCGGTGAAGACATCGACACGTGAGAAGAGGGAGGTCGGGGGCTGATCTCAAAGAACTTCGGGCCATTATGCAGCGCAACGAACCAAGCGAGCACCGCACGGAGCATTCCAACTGCCCGCGCGAAATCTGCCGTCGAGCGAAATGAGACGCTCGCAACCCTTCGACTGCGAGAGCGATCCGTCCGCTGCCAGCGGCCTTTAAACGAAAGGTTCCTCAATGCGCTGTCAGCGCGTGCCAGAGGATCAGTACTCAGCGCAGGCAGCGCGCACGAAAGGACCAGTGCTGAGCGCTGCCAGCGTGCACGAAAGGACCAGTGCTGAGCGCTGACATCACAATTTCTGACATCATCATCGTCGTCGTCATCGTAACTCTCCCCCTCCCTATATCATCGTTCACTGGTCGTTTCCGATATCACGAAGCAACAAATTTGCGGAGGTGCCCTGATGGCCGAGCACCGAAAAAATACAAGCCTCCGAAGCGGCAGAGGATGCAGCGCTGCCAACAGTTTTGTCTGGGGCGTCATCGTCAGCAGCGACGCGCTTGCCGACGTGCGCTCCAAGCTCGCAGGCAAACTCCTGCGGAGCTGGCCTTAAAGACCAGCGGCGCGTCTTGGGCGGCATGGTCGCAGGCTCGGCTGGAGACTGCAAAGCCGAACCCTCTTTGGAGGGAGTCTCAGCGGCCATGCCACTCGCGCTCTTGGCAGACGGCGTCTTCGCGCCTGCGGCGTCCAAATTGCATGAAACAAACAGACTGGATGCCTTCTTCGGAGGCGAATCCTCGACCAGAAACACATCCAGCGACGTATCATCATCCCCAAGCCCTCGCTTCCGCGTCAAAGGCCTTGAAGGTCCTGGCGGAGTGCCTGCGTGCGCTTCGTCGGTGTCAGCGCCCTCTTCAGGGCCGCCTGAAGCAGCAGCGCCACCCTCCCCAGGGTAGCAAGAAGCTGCTCCCGAACCCGATCCGCGCCCAGGATCGGGAGCACGAGGCAAACAATCGCGGGGCTCTGGCTGGAACAGCTGCTGAGCATCTTTCCCAGCCGTCTCATGAACAGGCGGCAAGCCGATGCCAGCCTGAGCGTCGAGGAGCGCACGTTCTGCCTTCCACCCGGATTCGAAATGGGAGAACCGCGGGTCCGAAAGAGTGATATCTGGATCGGGGGTGCGAATTGGACCATCTTGTGCAACGCGCGTGCCACTGTCACTGGGCTCTCCTTGGGCAGGCTCCAGATCAGGACTATCAGGCGGCGTCGCCGCTGGAAGATCAGAGTAACTCGGCCCCATGAGTACGACCGTGCAGGGTACCGTTGTATCAATACGTACTTCCGAGCTGATCGGGCGGTTCGGGTCGACGACGACCAAGGTAAGGTGGCCAGTCACTTGGATCTCCATGGCGCTGCTTTGGTTACGAAGCTGGGCTGGCACGGGCGCCCTCAACGAACAAAGAAGAATTTTCGAGCACTTGACCCAAGCGGCTGCTGTCTGGAAAAGCTGGCCAAATCTAGCGTAAATATAAACATGTCCTACTACGTGGCGTGTGATGCCGTGCGTTCAGAATTAATTACGATGATGATTGTTTTTAACAGTGGATGAAGCATCACCAAAGGATATTAGACAGGAGCACGCATGCTAAAGCATATGGTGGTGCTGCTGCACGCAATGGTAGCAAGCTGGCTTTTGGTTATGACAACGAAACGGCTCGCATACCAAGGCAGCGCACGAGGGCAGAGTTGCGCACGGCGCGCACAAAGACCACAAGCTACCGCGCGCAACAAACCTTGGGGCGCCCCCAAGACGGACGGCGAGGCCGCACGGCGTGACCTGCAAATGGCTTATACGCATTACACACTGCCAGGACACAAGCCTAAGCACACGCAGGGCATTCCCGATGTCGCGCCAGGGCAAGCGCACGACGCCCTTCACCAGCACCCCCCCACACGCACGCGCGCAAACGCAGCCGATGACAGAATTATGGGCCAAGCCACCACGCCAATGGCACAGACAGACGAGGCCGAGCCCGAACGCACGTGACATTGGCAATCGCAACCGCCCCCGCGAAAACAAGGCCGCGGTGTGGCGCCGCCGTCATTGGCGCCAACCGCACGGCACGCGCGAATGCGCAAACTCGCGCCAAACGCCAGTGCTTGCCGACCCAGCAACGCTAAACCGCGAGCCCCGAGTCACACTTTTCTCCCTGGAAACGCGCGCGGCAGCGCGCAAGCCCTGAAATGTGGGGCACCGACGCGCGCTGACGGCCAAGGCGGGCGCCGAAATACTCTGGCGTCAGACCGACCAAACCAGCGCTTCGGAACTTCAGAAACAAAGCGCAGCACGAGTTGCGTTAAGAAGGCGTAGCCCGCTGCCCCATGGGCTGGCGGCCAAAAGCCCAGCCCTCAGTCGCGGGTTCCGTCCGCCGCTAACGCCAAGCCATGCGCATTTGGGAAATGCGCGACGACCGCAATGGCGAGCGCAGCGCTCTCGGAACGGGCGCCGACGCCAGAACTGCGTGCGCGTGGGCCAACGGCCCAAAACGAGCAATCAACGCGCTCGCGATCGCGGCCGCGACGCGCGAACCCAAAAGCGCAACCGAGCGCGGCGCCGCGCTTGACGCCGACGCGCTCCTGAAGACGCTCGCGTTGAGCCGCGGGCACGCCGCGCCGCCGTCGGCGCGAATACGTTGAGCCGAGCGGAGTGCGCCGATGCCCAGAGACGCCATCGACGACCTGAGACCGCGCGCATGAGGTGGCAAGCTGAAGGCGACGCCCGCGGCCTACCGCATGACGAAGAGTGCACCGCCGAAACGCGAACAACGCTCGAGCTTAACCATGCGCCCGCGGCCCAAGGCGCATCAAACGCCGAGCGAATGAATTGGCCAGCGCGCGCGGGCGACCAGCCCCAAGATATTGCACGAGGAAGCTAAACATTCGCCGATCACACCAAGGGGGGAAACTTGGGGCGCGCCGCGCAAACTCCCCGCAGCACATTCACAAGCACGCGCAACGCCCATAGTGGCACGCCATGCGGGCAGAGCGCCCCGTGACCACGATCAACCTTGAGCTCGCGACGCGAACGCGCCCCATCCCTTTGCCCCGAGCACCGCCGCGAGTGCACCAGCCGCATC